ATCAGTGGCCAGGAATTGCAGGGGCTGCTCAGCCCTAGAGCAGGGATGGTGAAGGATCAGAGAGCAGCCATCTTGGGCTCTGTGACTTCCACAGTGGATTCTTGGCCTCATAATTGCTCCAGTAGGTAAAAGCTACGGTGAACAGGAGGCTGCGTCCTGGCAAGCCTTGCTGAGCACTGCCTTTTGGACTGCATGTAAGCTTCCTAGGTGAAGGCGAAGACGCCCCTCTGAACTCCTCAACCACCGAAACCATTGATTTGCTCACGGCTGCAGTGGGCATCAGCTCTCTGTCTCAAAGTTTGATGTGGAATGTGTGGGAAGGGAGCGGTCCATGCTCCTGTGATCGTTGGAGAAGACAGAGAGTGGAGTGAGCTGAGCAATAGTTGAGACTCTGGAAATGAAACCAGAGCAGGGTTCCTGGAGCTCCTCTGACACACCTTCTAGTTTGATTCTTCTTCTTCTTCTTCTTCTTCTTCTTCTTCTTCTTCTTCTCCTTTTCCTCCTCCTCCTCCTCCTCCTCCTCCTTCGCCTATTCCTCCTCCTCTTCCTCCTCCTCCTCTTCTTCTTCCTCCTTCTCCTCTTTCTCCTCCTCCTCTCCTTCATGCCCTGTGAGAGAGACCCTCGGCTGCAGGTTGTGGGTTGGTTAGGAAGTCTCTGAGTCTGGATGAGTCACTCAGGGCATCTCCATCAGTGCTGTGTGGGTAGTGAGACTTCCTCTGGGGCTCCAGCTCAAGGCTAGACCTGATCCTTTACCAAGGGGAGGGGAGGGGCAGATCAGCTTCTCAGGCCCAGGGATCCCTGAGGAATTCAAAGGCCTGGGAGGGCTCTACCCAGAACCTCCCTAATGTGCTCTGTCTCCTTCTGGTTTGCTTCACTTCAGTGCCTGGAGACAATGGATTTAAGCCCCAGTACCAGGATACACACACACACACACACACACACACACACACACACACATAAATGTGGGTCACATTGGCATGGGCAACACACAGAGAGAAGGCTTTAGATCTTGATCATGAGAGAAACTACAAGTTGGTCATTAGGAGACTGGATCCTGTTTTTGTTTTTGTTTTTTTGTCGGTCATGGGGCCTGAACTCTGGGACTCGGTGCTGTCCCTCAGCTTTTCAGCTCAAGGAGAGCGCTCTCCCACTTGAGCCACAGTGCCACTTTATTGGAGCTAATGACGGTTTATTGGAGATAAGAGTCTCATGGACTTTCCTGTCCCAGCTGGCTTTGAACCGCGATCTTCAGGCCCACTGGATCCTGGCTTTAGTCGTGGCCCCTATAGCTCTCTAGGTTGAGACGGGAATGGCCATGTCTTGGAATCAACTGAATGCCCTTTGCTTTATCCTCCATGTGCATATACTTAACTAATTCTTTTATTGCTTTATAGACATATATTGTTTTTCTTATTGATTCAAGAGATTGCAACAACTCAAGATTGGCAGAGTAGCTCAAGTAGCAGAGTGCCTACTTAGCAAACAAAGCTAACACAAATCCCAAAACTCCTCTCCCTGCCATAAAAAAGGCACTGTACATTAGACTTGCATTAGAGAGGCTTGTCCACCACATCATTCATGTCCATTGACAATCATTTCCCACTCTTTTCCTCTCCATATTTAGAGTTCTGTGACTATTTGGGCCTATGTTTCATCTTGTGTTCCCTGGTGGAGTTCTGGGCAGGCCTTCACAGAGACTGGAAAAAGATCCATCAGCAATAAGAACAGGGAAATACTCCCTCTTCTTACAGCTGGAGAGGAAGACCACAGACATTATTCTAACATGACTCTGGAAATAACTCGCATTTGAAAACGGTAACTGCGCCTTGTGAAAATAATCCTTCTTCCCTAAAAATCTATAGGATTTCCGTTTGTGTTAATTAGTGTATTTTCTTGTAGTGTTATACATTGAAATCTGGTGAATAGGTAAGTCTAAATACCTACGTGGTTTATTGGCAATTTCTAAAGGAATTGATTATGTGTGTGTCTTTTCAACAGAAGAAAACAAAATAGCCAAAGAATAGGAAAATCTTTTCTTCAAGGTCTACAATAGGCTAACTAAACTGTCAACTGTCATCAAGTGCCGTGTCTCTACTGCCCCCAGCTGTTCACCTTTTGAATTTGCTATGGCAAATTCTTTTGTTTTTGGTTATGGTTCAGTGTGGAAATGTTCATGTTTTCTACATGACTCCTGTTGTTCTAAGAAAGCTCTCCTTCCTTATTCTTTGATTTAACAATAGATTCATCTGTCCCCGGAAGAATATACATGTGAATGCTGATTGTGTGGTAATCTATTTTGAGGCCAGGCCTCAGACTCGCTCCTCCACTTCTGAGTACTGGGGTGGCAGGTGTGTTACATCCTATCCAGCCGGCATATGAAATTTTAGAGACATTTTATTTATAATTTCCAAAACACAGCAACTGCCAAAGATGGTCTTCAGCAGGGGGTAGATACATAAACTGTGATGCGTGCCAACACTGAGAAGAAATGTGCCATGAGCCAACTGAGAGGAGACGTAAATGCCAACTGCTGAATGGAAAAAACCCATCCGACAGCACTGTACACTGCGTGATTTGAATTCCATGACACTCAAGACGCCAGTACCATGCACGCAGACAGGAAGTGACCTGACTGCCAGGGTTTGGGAAAAGAGAAGGAGTGACAACACAGGGAGGACATCGGGAACATGTGGCGTGCTGGAGCTGGCGGTAGGTGGATAACGCTGAGCGTGTAAGGATGGATAACATAGGATGGATAACACTGAGAGTGAGCCTTATGTAGCAGGAGAAACTGGGGGCAGAAGGAAGAAGGGGTGGGGACTCTCAGTACTTTCCACTCATTTTGTCCACACACCCAAGACTGATATTAAAAGTAAAAACTTCT